CCCCCACTTTATTTCCATATGTGGTCAAATTAGTCTCCAAATAAGACCAGCGAAGGAAGTTTTCTCTTCCTATAGGAAATTCAGAGAAACAGTGCTGAGCACCGTCCACATTTAAAGATTTGACAGTACAAGACTTCAACAACTCTAATAACACAAGCCTTTAATTTACAATTTTGGTAAAGGATCAAATATACATTGTTAACCTTCATTTCCCCAAATTGGTCCATGTTCAGAAAACTACCTGGAACAATTCCACTAAATAAACCCAGAATCTGAACAAAGGAAATTTAACTTTTCTATCCAAATTAGGAACAAAGTCACTAGGTTCTGCCATAGAGTCCAGCCACAAATAACACACAACTATTAATCTAGAGACAGGTATTTGAACCAGTTCATACTGGTTTGACCCTCTGCTAAGAATTTGCATTTCCACCCCCAGATAAAAGGATATCAGGGGGTGGAAATGCAGATACCCAACACAGGTTCTAATGGGAACAAACTGATTTGAAGCCCTGTTCCAAATACATCACTGATAATTCAACAGAATTTGCAAACATGAGCTCTAGAACTAGCAAAACATGCTGAAAAGAGCATGTCAAGCATTAGTCCCCCAAAATCCAGAACCACACTCAAGCATTCCAAAAAATAAGCCAGATCTGAAGAGAAGCCTCTCATTTGTTGGTTTCAAAAGAGAGATGCCTGAAAAACTATGGGAAAGGGAATATAAAATGAAGTGACAGCTTACAAAAAATAATTCGGCCAAAACACATCTGTCATATTCACAACACTGTCAAAGCTCCCCCCCTCCCAATTCTGAACATGGTGTTGCACAATCTCACCTAAGACAAAAAATATGTTTACAAGTGTTACCTTCCCCCCCTTTTCTTTCTATAGCATATCTTTCAGGTTATAAGAATGCTTCTGGTTAAAATAAAATCTCTTATCCCTTGTCACCCTCCCCCCCATCCAAAAGTGAGTCAACCCTGAATTCCAAAATGGAATATTTAATATAATTATTTTAATACCAGTTATAGCACAAACTATGAAGAAACCCTATGAACATTATGGAAAACTACATGAGAGAGGGAGTTACCACTTGTCACCCACTTTATTTTCAGCTTTTTAAGCCAGGACCCAGCTAGACTCAGATCTCATTGAGTTTAGTGAAAAAAATAAAATAAATAAATAACACTCTAAAACCAGGCCACATGGACTGGAATTTGGATCTCAAAGATATCATCATTTCATGCATTTTCCCCCTCTATCCTAAGCTTTCACTTTGTCTATTCAAACAGTTTAATAAAGCTCACATATACAAAGGGTTTTGTTGGCAAATAAAATAGGTTAAATTTTTATCAAAACAAATTTTTGTTTTTACATATCTAACATTAAGAAATATTTTCTTGGCCTTATAAAGCATATTTAATTGCATATAAGTTTTACTTTGGGTGGGATATTGAAAACATAATTCTGCAAGAAATTAGAAAAGATTAGAAACAAAAGTGAAAGTGACTAGTCTTAACTTTCAAAAAATCAAGTGCAAAGATAAATAGTGCAAATAATGAAAACTATAAATTTTATAGGCAGCTTTACATAGTCTTTCTTGCTTTTGCACTTTCACATATTGAAGATAGTTATAAACCCTAGCAACTGTATGCAGCATGGAAATGGGCTATCATTTATCTCCATTGACTAGACTCAAGAAAGCCTTTCAAAGACTTGTCTCACAGTCATTTAAATCACTGGTTCTTGACACCGGTTTGGGAATTCACTTCTTTTTAAATGATTCCTAAGGGAGGAGCTATTTAAGAAGGCCTGCATTGACTTAAACATATTGTAGCATGTATATAACTATTTTATAATCCAAAACCTGACATACAATGTAATTTGAAAATTATACTAAGTGCCAACTACAAAATAAACTTAAAACTTTGTTCCACAGGACAATCCTACTATTATTAATAAATTTAGTATGGGGGTGGGGATTAGCCTTCCAAGTTCAAAACCAGAAGCTTTTGGGGGCTATTTTTAATGAGATTTTTATCACAATGTGTAGTTATGGGTAAAATAAACTTGAAAGTGATCTGCCAAAATAACTGGGAATACACCCATACTAAATTAGGAAACAAAAGGCTAGTCCATGTATGTTTTGATTATATGACTTAAAAATACAATTATTTGTTACTTTAAAATGTTTTAAACGCAACACGGATAATGGGAGTGGATAGCTAAACACTATCAGCTCACCCTACAAAAGGGATTAGAACCTCCAAAATGTACTGGTTAATACTATTAATATCTGCCCCCACTGAGCTCTTGGAAATTCTGTACTTTTAAAGTAATAGAGTGGAAAAATCAAAGAAACAAGTTTGGAGGTATACTGTATCATTTCAGAAATATAATGTTAGGGTCTTATAAGTATACAATGTTAAATGGTTGCTAGGATTAGAAATGTAAAAAGATTTTGAACCCCCAAATAAAATAAAGACTATTTTGAAAAGTAAAAAAAAACAAACATTATACATTAGCCCAAGAAAATAGATATTTGGTAGGTTATTTTTGATAGTATGACAACTGTGAAAAAGTTTGAAATCTTCTTTTCTCCAAAAGATTAAGTTCCCATTGCCAACTTGCCAAGAAAAGTTGCCATTCCAACTGTGCCACTTAATTTGTCTCAAAAAGCAAACACACACATGAAAACAGATTTTATAATGTATCATCAACATAACACCCAGCTAAACTCTCTCAGAATCAAGGAGGGATCCATTTTCTCTGGCTTTATTGAAACTTCTACCACCTTTGTCCTTAGCAAACAACTCTCATTCAAATGCTGCCTTAGCAGCTTTTCCTGCCACCAATAAAAATTCCTTCTACTTTAAATCCATTCCTTGCCCTTACGTACCTCTCAAATGCCATTTCACAAACACCTTAGCAGCTTTTGCCATGTCTGCTCTTGAATTCCCAAATCATAAGTCTCATCCCCCAGTAACTTAAACTTACCTACACATACTTCTTACTCTCATCAGTTCAGAGATTCCTTAATAAACATTCATTTCAATGTCCTTGACACTTTCAACTTAAGACTATGGAGGAAACAGCAGTCAGGGAACAAAAACAAAAAAACTGCCCCATTACCTCATAATACAGAAATCTTTCTGGATCATCAGTTAGCTATGTTCTAAGGCAGGAGTCAGCAATTTCTTTACTTCCCTCTGAAGGGGGTTAGCTTGAGTGCCACTGGCAAGGCCTATGACAAGGAGAAGAATAAAGATACAAATGAAAGAGAAACAAGGAAACAGGAAGACAATGGGGAGAAAATGTCAGATGTATATGGTAGGCAAGTGCTAATAACAATTACTTTCCTTGGAGATTATCAACTCATCTCAGCTAAATGGGAGCTGGATTCAATCCCAAGATGCATCCACTAATTTATTAGATGATGGCCATCACCATTTGTGCTAGTCAAGGTGAGTGAGTAAGTTAGTCAGTGAATAAGCAAGTCTCCTAAATTTAGCTGCTACTTCACAATGACAACTTTTCTTAAATCTTTCTAGGGTTCTTCTGCAGTCATCTAATGTAGAAACATGCTTACAGGCCCATTTCCATGTTTCTCGCAATTCTAGACATAAGGGCTTGGTACTTGAACTGGGGGGACTTCTTGAATTGCCAAAGTGCATCCTTAATCAAGAAAATTAAACTCTTTCAACTTAAAAATTTCCCCCTTGGAATGCTATACAAATGTAATAAGCAATTATTAACAATCATCAAAACAAGGCATGTTTTCTGAAAAGTGTTACAAACATCTCATGTTTCCAAAGGAGCAAAATATTGCTGGTCTGTAAGCAGCAAATTGATTTTACATAGATCACCACCATGCTTCCACCTATCAACAAAACGATTTTCCACAAAAGCACAGTCGGGAAAAAGTAAATGAAAAATACCAAACAGAAAATGGGGGCAAAATAAAAACAGTAAATGAGAAGCTATGAACTGTAGTTAAGAAAAATGTTTTAACAAGTGACTTCTGACATTATGCAAATTTCCTAAAGATATAGATCATCCAGTCTACTCACCATCAAAATGTGATAGTGATAGTTTAGCAGATCAAAGATGACCACTGTTGGCTTGGGTCCCAGTATTTCTCACTTTTCACATGGTTGACCTTGCATCATGAAATGCTCCCTTACTAAATGCTAGTTTAGATGATCTTCACTTAACCATAATGCCATTTCTGTTCAAAATGGGCCTACAATTTAGGTGTTGTTTAGGATCAAGTAACTCCTCAAATATTAGATTCAGATTTTCTTAAAGATATATTGCAAATTCTGCAGTGACAACTTAATAGTCATTAATGCTGCTCGGTGAAAACAGCAATTTAAATGGTAGTGATCACTTTAGTTTTATAAAATACTTCATTATGAAAGGCCGAAATCCAGTTAACATGCAATGAAAACCTCAGAAATATGATATTTTAATGTGATTTAAAAGTCAACTTTGCAGAAATAGCTGTTGAATGCAAATAGCTTAGGTAATTTAAAAATGTTTGTCATGTTATACTCAGAGTTATCACCAACTGTCCCAACCTAGCATGCTAAAGATTCCTTTCCTTTAGGTTCCTTTACACAGAAAGGATTTCACTCTAATTATTCAAAGGACTTTTAAAAAAGGAAAAAGTCATTCGATTTGGCATCTCACTTTCTTATGGGAAAAAAAAATCTTGAAAGAATGTTCACATGTAAAGTAGAATGAACCATGGAGCTATGAAAACTACAAGACCAACAAACCTCATTTTAAAACTGTCTGGTCGTGTGCATGCACGTGTGTGAAAATGAGTGGGAATGTTACAGAAGAGAGGGTGAGCCATGCGTGGAAGATAAAAATAATCATGCCTATG